TCACTATTTTGGAGGATTTGGGCTGTGATAACGGCAAAATACGGCAAAATGGGCATTCCCGCTTACAGAAGCAACGCTGAATGAAGCAGAGTTACTTCCTAACCGTGCGTATGATCGATTAGGTTCACAAAGTTCTCAACTCAAGTCCACACGAGCACACACTGCTAGGGTTGAGCCTGCGCCCTTGTCAGTGTAAGAATAAAGCTTGTCGTTGTGGTTGGAGAGCTTGTCAGTGTTGCACCTGGACCTAAACCCTGTCGCGGTAAGGACCTACTCTGCTACGAACTCTCCAGACTAGCTTCAGCAGTCGTACCCATCCAAGGCACGATGACCTCCTCTTTCAAGTGACGGTCGGCGCCTTGGGGCATCCAAGCTTCCAGTTTGTCTGGTTCTTCGGGGACATTAGGGCGCACATGTTTTTTCCAATCCTCCGCTTGAGTCTCTTCCGGAAGCATAAGATAGCGTAAGGCTGCTGTTACCGTCTCAGGAGGTCACCGTCAGCACCGGCTTGGACATCATTGGGTGGAAGCCGCTCAACTGCTTGCACACCAAACCATGAGCTGCTTCTAGGCACCTGAACCCACTGCTGGCCAAATCTGGCTCCAAGCGTTGTTCGTGCCACCGTGCCACCTGCAAACAGGCGCCAAAGCTTTTCGCGAGAACGACTGGAACCGACCGCCCTCAACCCTATAACCTCCATTCAAAGGGCAATTCCAACCCATGTCGGCCTCGAGGAATTCAATCCGTCCACGGCCCATCCATGACGGTCGTCACCTACACCTGGATGTGCTTTGGGCCGGGTGATTCTCACGAAGTGTGTGCAGCTAGGAGGCATACAAGTATAGTTGCATCGCTACAGGTACTGTAACAGCTCAACGGCTCCTTGTGCATAAGCCCGTGACTTTTCGAAGGCAGCTGATAGGCTCAAGGCGCACAGTCTGAGTCTGGGCTGCCCGACTACCATCTCAACGCTCGCATGCACGTCATGAGTCAAGCGTAACTGCACTGTGTCACCACGTTATCACCTCATGTTCAGCTGCTACGAAGCTTCGTAATGCAATCTGAATCCCAGCCTTGAGTGCCCTTCGCCCCGGCACGAATCTGCAGAAGGTTCGGGGTGCTGGAAAAACGGGCGATGTTTAGTTGAAGTCTCACTAACTGACTGAAACATGCCGAAGGATTCACGTGCAAGCAGGCAAGCAACTAGGAGCTGAATACTTCTCTGAAGCTACGTGCCTCGAAGTTAGTGCTCAGCAGTCCAATCTGCGGGGCACGACACTCCTTGCCATATGCAGAATCTCCCAGGTCCGCGGTGTGGTACGAATGTTGCGACACGCAAATCTGTACAACCCAACAGGAGAAACTCGGATCCGAATCCTCCCGGAAGCCGTGTCCTTGAATAGTTGAACCTCGAAGAAGAAGCGGCCGCTGTCTTGTGCGTAGTCTGGGAAGCCCACGGTCACCCACTCTTGCCTCCAGCTCAAGGCATCCGAAACAAACACTCTCCATGCGAGCCCTGCCCACCAACCAACCGATTTGCCGAAGATGATTACAAGTTGAAAGAGCGTCGGATAGAGGTCGATCTGCTGATCTATAGGGATGTATAGCCCTCAAGCACTCCGAACCGCGGGCTGGGGCGGCCACGTGGAATCGGCAGTCCCCCCGCGCAGCAGCCGCGGCAGCAGGTGCGGCCCCTGAAGCCCAAGATCTGTTTGTCATAAAGTGATTCCGTGGCGACCTTCTGCAGGTTTGTGCAAGTCCTCTGCAGCAGTCAGTGGCGTGGGCTTCGGGTCCGCCTCGCTGGGCGCCGTGGCGTTCATGGCAACCTCCACCAAGCCCTGGCAATGGCAGGAGTAAAGTGTCTCTGAGAAGATTGCAATGGTTTCGACGCACAAACTCGCACAGGGTTTAAGTTGAGGCCTGCATGATGCAGCGATTGCGGTTCCAAACATTCAGGATTTGGAGACAGGGGGTTCGGACGAAGCTCAGACTTCGGGAGTGAGCTTGCCTTACCGTACAACACGCTATTGGCTGATGCCTCCGCCAACCATGCATATGTGTCTCCTGCTGTGGCCGACTTGAGAACGTAATCGCTGCAGCTGTAAGTTATCAGAATCTGAGTCTACACTGGCATGCTCGAGTGGCCCGAAATCCAAATTGAGCTATCGCTTAACTTCATTGCTTAACCTTCGGGCACGCAAGAAATCCACCATGTGGCTTCATCTAGGACAGGACCCTAGGAGGGCCTGCAGCTCCTTGTCGTTGTACTCCAGAAGCCTTTGCCGAACTGTCTGCGAATGTACCGGATAGTCAGGACTTCGTTACTCGCTATCCAGGTACGAAATGCGATGGAGGTTTGAACTCTCAAACACGATCTATAAGAATCAAAGGACAGGAGGGGTGGATACGACCAGTCTGGCAGTCTGGCAGCTGGAAGTTTAAGCTCGCGTCCTGCAAAATGCTCTCTGCAGCAGACATTCGCCCCACTACTGAGACAGGACTAGCCGCCTAGCCTTTGGGGAATTCTTCTGCCGCAACAAACTAATATCACAGCTGCATCGCCGTTTGAAAGGTGTGCATGTGCAAACGAGTGGCACGTGGCCGTATTTGTCCAAAACGCCAAGCCGTTGATGCTGCATGCCTGCAATGTTTTTTTACATTCCTAAGTGTGTTTCCGAAAATGACAGACCCCGCTTGTGGCAGAAGACTGTGCTGAATAGACTCGTCTGTAGCCAGTCAGACAGGGCTTTATGTCGCCGTCATCATGCTCAGTCTCGTTGCTCCCAGAGTTCAGATGGTCGAGGCGACGCTATTTAGACTCGCACGCTCGCTCAAGGCAGGCCCTGCTTCCGGACAAGTCCACAACGAGAGTGTGCGCAAGTCCCCGAACCGGAAGCAACCCTGAATAAAAACCCAACCTGCCAAAGACCATAACCACCACGTAACCAAAGACCGGAACACCAGAAGATGCTAGCTTTCAAACACTTTTCAAGCAAACTTTCGATGATGGCATCACTGACACTTGCAAGCCATCCCTGATAGCTTTGGTCACTCATCCTGTTTCTCTCTAAACAACTCAGCGCTCACGATGCTCAGCCCCAGATGCCATGGCAAAACCTCGACATAATGCAGCACTTGCGTTCCTTGTGGGGCCTCCAGAATCTGTGGAGCAAAAAGTACAGCGCAGGCGGACGTCCTACAAGGCCCAATCCACATGCAGGGCCTCCGAAGGAAGGCGGCTGTACAGTACGCAAACGAGTGGGGATAAGAAATCTACGAGGGGAAGGAGATGGATGCCTTGCAGAACGATCAGGGGTGTGAAGTTGACATGCAACACGCCAGGGGCCATTTGTGAGCTTGGGCCGCCACTGTCGGATGCCCCTACACCCAGCTCCTTGAGAACCAGGTAGGAATCACCGTACTGCTTCGCTTTGACCACACCTCACAGTCTCTACTTTCGTTCGCAGGCTTGAAACCCAGCAGGCCGACAGCAAAGCCGGATAAACCTCTGTCAGCACACGAGAACGTGCTGGCGAGAGACACAGGCCGAACTGGTGGACCGTAACTTTAATCGCAAAGTAAGCCTTAACCGCGCTGCCAGCCTCGATAGTCATTCATGACATTGAGGGCGCCATACTTCACACGATCGAAACCCTTGGCATCGTCGTAGGCCCCACCGAAGAGCTCATGCTCCCAGCCCTTGCGTGTGTTATTCTCCTGAGCGAAGTGTGGCGAGGGAGAAGGGAAAAGAGTTCAACTGAAGTGCTCAATCTATTTGTTCTCTCTCTTCGGTTTGGATAAGGCACGCACTGATCTTACGTATATGCAGGTCGGCGAGAGATTTACAACCAGTGTATACTGGCGGTCATTTATCGCCGCACGCCAAAATGCTGCACTCGACACTGCACCCGGACCTGTCCAACTGAAATCCGTGGACCGTCGTCCCTCACGAAAACCCTCCAGAAGTGCATGGCCGCGCGGCTGGGTCCAATGCTCCATTGGATGTTTTGGTCTCGAACTGGTTGCGATAAAACCTGACTGGGGCGAGGCTGGGTGGCAAAAGCGGTAAACAAATGCTAGAGCACGCCAGCAGTCACTATACTGGCTGCCCTCGTCCCATTCGCCCGACATTGTAGATCGAGGTTGGATGTACGAAACTTCAGACGCACACTGGAGTTTAGATTCGCTCTGCTGATGTGAGAACGTGGAAGCAAAACAGCTCAATGCCTGCACAATCCAAAGGCAGGCTAGGCACGCCCTGAACTGAAATCAGGGACAGCTCTGGTTTGCTCCAATGTGCAGCTGCGCAGCTCGTCGCTCTCCATGAAATGGCCCATGCGATCCAGATTGATGTGTATGCAGATCGGCGCCATGTCCTAAAGTGTGATCGCCGGCGAAACTTGCGCAGCTCGAGACACTGTTCTAAGCTGTATGCACCTGCATCGCTTACCTACCGAGAATCTCTACCCGAATGCCCACACGCCAAAGACACTTCCGCGCAGTTGCGTCCCAGCACTGTCTCACACGGAAAGACATGGATGCAAACCTAAATGCTGCAAGTCAGATTCCTGGATCCAGCCGAGTGTGGTCTCCAGCTCACGGCCCACGAAGCCCAACTTGGTGAAGCGCTCTCGGACCTGCGCGAACACCTACAATTTCTGACACCATCGCCCCCTAGAGTCTCAGCGGAGGTGAGCCCCAGAGTGAGTCTTGTTTTGGCCGGGCTCTTGAATGTGGCGCCCCCCACGGAAAAAGCAAGCCCAGTCTTTGAGATTCTAAGGATCCTGGAGTTTATCATGATCTACGAATCCAACGTTGGGAAGAAAGGGCTGGAGTCGGGCATCGAATCGGCTGTGAACCCTTCAAGCTCCCTCTTTTTACACCTCGGCTATGCATATGCAGGGAACCGTCTGGTAAACTTAACCCGATGTGAAAAAGTGACATGAAGTCTGAAATCTTTGTAAAGTGCAAAGGCGGTCTGTGTGAGTAAAAACTCAGCACATCCATCCATCCATCCATCCATCCATCCCTATGATCATTGCATTACATACATGTTACATTGCATTACCTACATCACATCCATATCCATGAATGCATGCCTACATGCAGATGTAACGCGCAATGTATGCGTAATGCCGCCCCAATCCCATGAGCCGGAGGTACTAGGGCTACGAGGGGCGCGATTTTCCAAGGTGGAGTTGTGAGGCATGCTTTGGACTCGCCTGCTAGTGACTGCTCGTGTTGCGAAGACTCCGAGGTCTCAAAAGCAGTTTCTGCCTTGCAGTGTAGAGTCGTCACTTAGTGATGCCTGATCATTTCATCATGATTCATCCACTATCCCAGTGCCTTGGGCAGGGAGTTTTCGTGGCTCGTCGTGCAATGTGCTCGAACGCCAGCCAACGCCTCCCGTGCTCAGTGGTTGCTGGGAACAAGATGCGATGCAAATGAAATGAACACAACACATAACACTGGGCAAAAACGCATCAGAACTTACCGAGGGAGGGGCGGTTGCCCCACAGGGCCTCAACTACCAGCGCAAGAGCCCCGATTTGTGCAGATGTGTTTTGAGGTGTATGACTGGAGGGTGGACACACAGCGTCGTTAAACCCACTCGAAACTCTCCAGCCTACACACTCAGCCCTACTGCCGCAACTTATGTGAACCTTGACGGAGCTTGCAGTTCTTTATAATGGCCCGTAGAGGTCCGCATATTAAAGTTATATGAAGGATCCTACATGAAGGAACCAAACCCATGACTTATATGGATCGATGGAGGTCTGCCTTACTATGTCTACCCCGACAAAATATTCCAGCATATGCAACAGCAAAAACAAGTGCTAACACTTCTTGCGCGTAATAGGCTGTGCAGAACACTAGACGTTGAACAAACTGCGAGGAATGTGGGAAACACATACACGCATACGTCCATCCATGCAGTATGCCTGAATGCATGCATGCATAGCTATCTATCTATCTATACATACATACATACATACATATATATATATACCTATCCATACATTTGTAAATGCACCGCCTGCAAAAGTCACACAGAACAATGCAGCAAACACTACGTTTGCGCCTTTCGCTGGCAGTCCGTGAGACCTTGATTATCACTGGCTGTTTCAGCAACGAAAAATGACTTCAGGGCAAAACTGTGGGATGCTAGGTCTCTCGGTTTCTCTTTGTTTCGCCTAGCCCTGTGATCGCTCCTGAGCCCAGCCTCTTTCCTGGGTGTTCTACAAACGGATTTGGCGGAACAGTAGAAGGCCCCCTCCTTTTCGGGATAGCTGGAACTCTCACTCTCTGCTTCTGCTCCCACTTCTTGACCGCTTTCCGCCGGCAAAAAGCAGAAACACTATTAATCCCTTCCCCCTATTATTAAACGCCCCCCCCC